ACAGACAGTTCCAGTTTTAGGGAAAAATAACAGTAGCATCTTGCCTTAACAAGAAACTCCTGAGCAATACAAATGCCAAGCCAGACTCCATTACATCTACCACTGAAATACTGCTGGCTACTCCAGAGCAAAGCTCGGAAGTTGCTCTCATCTTGCTCAGTGAGAAGGATATTTTCCCAGCTGGAGGAAGACTGAGTCAGGTGCTTGCCAAAGTCCTCCCTCCAACCTCACAAAAGTAAGTGTACAAGAAGGGTATTGGCACACAGCAGGAGCTCTGAGATGATTTGGATTTTGCTATGGCTCCTATCAGAGGAGCTAGCCATCTTGGCTCCTGGGAGGACAAGCTGAACATTCAAGGTATGTCACTAAGTTGTTCAGGGCTGAAATAGAATGGATTTTGGAAACAGTAGCTTCAGGTGGTGATCAACCTAAAAATCATATCAGTCTTCAGATTACCTATTCACCAGCCATGTGATCCTGGTCAAGTTATTTGACTTGGCTCAGCCTTCAATGCCTCATTTGCAAAACAGGTTATAATAAGAACTCCCCTGTAGGGTAGCTTCAAGGATGAGCCAGAACCTTGTACATATTCATTACTCAATGAAAGCATTTTTTTTTCTCCTTTCCCATTGGAAATGCAGTACATACTCAGCCCTTTTAATGAGGAATCTCAACCATGTCAATTTTACCATCAACTGTTACATCAAGAATTGTGTTGCAGGAGAGAGGTTGGTTGGGACATGGCAAAGACTCCAAAAAGAGCTTTTATGGCAGAAGGAAATATGCCATTTACCCTGTCTGTTTCTGCACACACTCACTGGAAAGCTCATATGGCTGGCTCGTGACTCTCCTGGCTACCTCAGCACATTGAGTCCCTCTCCTACAAAGCTAACCCTCTTTCTGAAAACACTGGACACATCCCCAAACCCCATCCCACAGGCGTCATCAAGCAGACCCTGGCAGTCTAGATGGCTCATGGCAGATGGTACCATGTGAACTAATCAAGAAGTCAGACAAGAAAATCCGACCCACTCTTCCATTTGCCAGGAAATGTGATTGTTTGGATTTTAATCATAGCCACAGCTAAGAGCCAATGTGCAGCCCCCTCCTGTCCAAAGATAAATTTTCCACTCTCAGCATTCAATTCTTCCTCAAAAAAAGACCCCTATGAGGGTAATTGCTCCATAGAGAGGGGCTTCTTCATCCACCAATATAATTTTTTTCTGATTTAACACTATGACAGAAATAAGATACTGTTTGGACATGGTGGCACACACACTGACTCACACTGCAAAGAATGTCTTCATTCCTCCATAAGTTACATCTAGCTCACCGGTGTATTGATCCCAGGCAAAGATGAATGCAGAATCCCATGATCCTCTGGGAGAAATGTGACATTTTCTTTAAATATATATCTACAGAACAACTGTTTCTAAATCCCCATGAAGCAGGTCACAGGGGCAGCACACCATTGATTTCATATCCAATGATTTCTTAGAAAGAACACTGAACGTTTTCTCTATAATTCAGCCTTGAACAGACCCTGACATCTTCTTGGGGACACTGTCTCTGACCTCCCCTATGAGAAGGGGCAGGGATCCTAGGAGAATTAGATGCAAGAAAGACAAATCTTCTGCTCCCAATCACTTTGAGGTCATTATGCTTTGTCGTGGTTTGAATGCAGTGCCCCAGTAAGTCTCAGGGCTTAAAAACTTGGTCCCCAGTTGGTGAAGTTTGGGAAGAGTTAGGAGGTATGGCTTTGTAAGAAGACTTGTGTCATTGGCATAGGATTAAGGTTTCAAAAGCCAACTACTATTCCATTGTGTTCCCTTGGCTTCCTACTTGTGGGTCAGGATATGAACTCTCAGCTGTTACTCTAGTGCCAGGCCTACTGGCCTGCTGGCCTGCTGTCATGATCCAAGCCATTTTGGTGATGTACTCCTATCCCTCTGGAACTATACGCCCCAAATAAACCTTTACTTTTGTAAGTTTCACTCTGTTCGTGGTGTTTTTTTGTTTTTGTTTTTGTTTTTTTTCTCAGATATAAAAAAGTAACTAGTACCTGTCTCATCATTTTTAAAGTGACTGGACTCAGAATCACCTAAGAGACATACCTCAGGGTCCGTCTGTGAAGGAGCTTGTAAACTGGGTTAACTGAGGAGATGAGACATGCCTAAATGTGCACGACACCATTTCATGGGTTGAGGTATTGGTCTGACCAACAGAAAATAGAGCATCAACACTCATCCCTTTCTGCTTCCTGACTACAGACAATGTGTACACTCCTGCTGCCTTGATGAACTGCTCACCATGATGAACACTATCCTCTCAAATTGTAAGCTAGAACAAACCCATCCTCTCTTAAGCTGTGTCTTGTCAGTCTCATTTGGACTGAAAAAAAAAAAAAAGCAAGGTTATAACTCATCCATGCCATAGCAATGAAAAGTGCAATTCATACAAAGAAAAACCGAGCAAAGAGTCATGGCCACAGACTTGTTACAGGATAATAAAATAGGCTGAGAAACTGTAGGACAGTTAAGCACAGTGGTCCAGGCTTTGAGTGTGCACACAACCGTGTATCTAATGGGTGACCTGAAGCAAGAATCTTCCTGTGCTAAGCAACTCAGTATCCTCTGATGTGGAACAGTAGTGAGATTTCCTACCTTACAAAATTGTCGTAAGGATTAAATTAAATGGCATACATAATTTAATAGATTACTTGTCACAGTGCCTGGCACAACTGAGCATCTGAAAATCAGTGATAGTAATAACTGTAGTGGCCATGCCAATTTATCTCTAAGAGTCTCTATTAAGTTACATATAGTTCAAGGTGGGAATGAATAGAATACAACAAGTACAACAGCCCTAATGTTAGAGGTCTTTGACATAGTCTTTTGAAGAGAATTTTTTTGTTTTTTTTTTAATTTTTTATTTAACTTTTATTGATTACACTTTACTCATTTTGTACCCCCCCATAAGCCCCAACCTCCTCCCCTCCCGATCCCACCCTCCCTCCTCTTTCTGCATGCCCCTCCCCAAGTCCACTGATAGGGGAGGTCCTCCTCTCCTTCTTTCTGATCTTAGTCTATCAGTTCTCATCAGAAGTGGCTGCATTGTCATCTTCTGTGACCTGGTAAGGCTGCTCCCCCCTCAGGGGGAGGTGATCAAAGAGCAAGCCAATCAGATTATGTCAGAGGCAGTCCCTCTTCCCATTACTATGGAACCCACTTGGACACTGAACTGCCATGGGCTACATCTGTGCAGGGGTTCTACGTTATCTCCATGAATAGTCCTTGGTTGGAGTAGGAGTCTCTGGGAAGTTCCCTGTGTTCAAATTTTCTTGTTCTGTTGCTCTCCTTGTAGAGTTCCTGTCCTCTCCAGCTCTTACTATTTCCCACTTCTTACATAAAATTCCATTCACTCTGCCCGACAGTTGGCCATCAGGCTCACCTTCTGCTTTGATAGTCTGCAGGGCAGAGGCTTATAAGCCAAAATATGTTTACCTTCCTTTAGCTATTGGAGGCAGTGTTATTAGTGTCCATCTACATCTCAGCCAAATGGGACTAAGAACTCTGATCACTAGGCCTGCCAGTATCCATACCAGGATATCAGAGTAATAGCCTAGCAGGAAAGGACACAATTCTAAGAAGGGAAAGCAATATATAACAATATTGGTCATTTCTTACTGTGCAGCCCACACTGACTAGCCTGTAACTCCTATAGCTCAGGCCAAACTAAAACTGTTAACCCTTCTGTTTTTACCTTCTAAGTACTGACACTACCACAGATTCCAGTGAGTGACAGCTTCAAAGTGATAACCTCTTTCTATTCATCCCTAGGATGGCTTTGGAAATTGTCATGTAAGCAATCAAGCCATGAGGACAAGAAGAGTATGAAAAGTTGTCAGGAGTAATGAGTTGATAGTCTCATTTCTATCTGCTGGTTTAAGAAAACAAGGTTATATAACTTATCCATGACCATAGGTCTGGGCAGGTGGAAAGAGAAGAAAGCGAAAGGCCCATAGTCAGTGCAGACATCCTAGACCTTTGCTTCTTGGTAAACACTGTAATCACAGACAGGGAATTTGGATCTGAGTCACCAAGTAAAAAGGAACACATGAGCAGTGTCTCTAAAACTCAGACTCCCTAACTCCATCCATGCCTCTATTCCTTTTCAATTTATTCCTTGATTTATTCCCTCAACATAATACACTGTCCTTCATGCACAGAGACGACCCTGATGACTCACACAGCTACATGAGTTATTTTCTCCAGCAGTGGTCACGAATTTTCACTCATCCAGTCAACATCTGTTTGCATAAAATGGCTGGCTGGAGTAGGAGTGCATTGATCAACCTTGGAAAGCAGCAAAGCCAAGCAGTCCACATGCAGAGAAAATAAATAGATGCCCTCTCCCATGCTCAGAATGCCTAGCCTTCAAGCCAAATAAGTAGACAGAAGATCATGAGCACTATAAAGGCCATAAAGTCTGAAGCTAGAAGACCATATTCACGTATTGATTATGCAAATCCTTATCAATGAAACTATAGATGATTCTTGAGTAGATTTCTAGTTCTCAGAGTCCACAAAATGCAGAAAATGATACCTACCTCCCATGCCTCTTGTAATGGTAAATCTAAGCTCATGTAAGCAAAAGCAAACCTGATACAGCTATAAAATTGTGTACAGCAAATGTTATTTATTAGAAATTGATTGCTATCTTTACTATTATAAATATTAAAGCTGTTATTGATAATTACCTGCAGATCACGAAACTAAATGCTGATAAAAGATGAGATTCTGTCTTTTGAAACAGAGCGTGCTTAGTGAAAGCATCAGAAGACAAGTCCAGAGATGGGGTGGGTCACTGTCACTGAACACAGTATGTTCATCCAACCCAAACAGCCCAGCCACTGGGTAGCTCCAGTGCTTGACACTCCTTCCCACCCAACCATTACCAGCACTCCACCACCTGGACAAAGTCTTCAATTCCGAACTTACAATTCCCGAAGACTCAGCGTCTGGAAGAGCTGCCAGGAGAGTGTAGTGAGCCGATTACTTGACAAGTTTCTGCAAAAGTGACAAATAAAAGGGGTAGTTAAAGGACAGGTCCAGCATCAGGAATGCCCACGATGGAGAACTTGGTTGTGAGGAGGCAGGCTTTGGTCTGCCTCTTTTTCTTTACTCTAATGTTTACCTGATATGTCTAATGATGTAACTATCATTATGTATCCTGATATATATGGCTAATGCTGTATTTGCTAATAGTTGAGGCCAGAGGGCAGCTGTGAAATGGATGCTGAAGCCCTTTTAAAGGGTAGGGTTTTACACATCCAAGAAACAATATGGTTCTTTTGGTTACCCCTCCATACTACCCTTTCATAAACACTCAGGAAGCCTGTTTAAGGCAACTTTCTCTAGACAATAGCTCAGAGGACAGCCAAGCCCACAACATCCTTTACATCCACACAGGCAGGAAATGTTCAGGTTTCTTATAACGTCTTCTCACCCACCCCGCCCCTAGAACACATGCCCATTTGAGAGATCAAGACATAGCCTTTGTTCACACATCTCTTCTCCTAATGGCTATTTAATTGTTCTCATTAGGATGTACAGGGGAAGGGAGCAGCCATTAGTCTTCTGAATAAAAGAAGAAACACGCCCACGGTTATTACTTTGCCGGGCTCAACAAACAACTTCTGAAGCGATAACATCCCTTAAAGGCAGTAGTTAGACACTGAGAACTAAGTGGCAACCTAGGAACAATGTACTCTTCTGCTGATGGGATCGGATAACAGTGCTGATTCCATCTAGATAAACATCCACCCCTACGTGAACATGCACATATTTGTATCTATTAAACACGTAGGTAAACAATGCAAACACAGAATCTTGCTTACACACACACACACACACACACACACACACACACACACACACACACGCTTTCGTGTGCGTTTATATTTAGATGAGTTCTGCACCAAGTAGAGGAGTCAAGCATAGGCTATCGTGAGGCCCAAGGGGTCGACCATTGAGAAGAAAGATGGAAACTTAACGTCCAGATTACGAATGAGTAAGCAGAAAGAAGTGTATCAACAAAATGACATGAGTAATTGGGAGGAGTGCTACTGCGCTTGCGTGCTTGGGGAAGAACCTTCCAGCAGGTAACATGGGACCCTAGAAAAGAAAGGGTAAGAATGAGCTGAGGGCCAGGAAGAAGTCCAGCCAGAAATGAAGTTCAAGAGACTGACAGGAGATAAGCAGGAGAGGGATTCATGTCATATCTACAGACATTGAGAGGAGACTGGTATTACTCCAAAGAGCAACAGAAGCCTTGGGTGGCTCTTATTGGTGATGTATCATAAACTAAATAACACTTTTTTAAATGGGAGGCCAAGACTAGAAGTTGACAGCCTGCTTAGAGGACCTCAACTATCTTCCACACAAGAAAGGAAGAAAAGAGAAGAAGAGACGTGTAGTGGAGGTTTGGATTTCTTTAAAAACTCAGTTATGTTATCTAAACATGTTTTTCCTTTAATCCTAGTGATATGGGACTGCTTTAGTTTGTCCACAGCTGTTAACTATGCCAGTTTTGTGTTCTGGTAGGGACGTGTTCTTTGCCAGCTGCAGATAGCTGAGGACTCTGGGAAGGTTTAAACACCAGAGCCAGGAGAGAGCCAGAGGACTCTGAGAAAGAAGAAGGCTGCAGCTCCCTGCTGCTGCTCCTGGTTGCTGTTGATTCAGTTTGATGAGGAAAAAGTTAAAGATAGCATGAAATGAAGATTGGACATGCCCCAAGGACTTCAACAACCCTAAACAGTAGGAAGTAGTAAAGAGATCTATGCCCCTTCTCCCACTAACCTTCTTTCTCTCCTACCTAGTGTTGGAGGGTTGTAAGGTATTAGGACAAATAAGAGAAGAGAAGAAGAAGCGTAAGAAACTCAAATAATACAGATTTAAAAATATGTGCTACAGAGAGGAGAGCAGGGAGAGGAAGGAAGAAAAGAGGAGAGGGAGGAGGGAAGAAGAAAAAAAAAACAAAGAGAAGAGATGGGTTCAAGATAAGTGCTAGAGCCATCAGAACCTGCAGCTAGCTCTTGGTATGGAGGAGAGTGCATGGTCATGTCAGGGATGTCAGGGTTTGAATATTAAATGGCCTTCAAAGACACATATTTTGAATGTTCCCTCTCAAATGGGTAGCACTATTTTGAGAAGTCATAAAATCTTTACAAGATGGGACCTATCTAAAGGAAGAAGAGAACTAGGGATGAGTCTTTGGAAATACATTACCTCTGTCCTCTTCTTTTAGTACTGTCTGTCTCCTGTCTATCAAAAAGAGAACAGCCATCCACACGCCACCTTGATGGAATGCTTAAGGACATGAGACCAAAAAACCACGGAATCTCTGAAACCATGAGCCAAAATATTCTTCCCTAAGATTTTACATCAAGCCTCTTGTCACACAACAAAAACGTCACTAATACTACTGAGGTATTGAGTGAGATGAGAAAGCCAGGTAACAGACTACACTTGGGCAGTGGAACCAAAATCATCCTCTGAAGCAGATAACAGAGGAGAGAAAGGTAAAAGAAGGGAATGGCAGGTGGATATAATCAATTAATATGCTGCATGCAGGCATAAAAATGTCACAATAAACCCATAATTTATACAAGTAACATCTATCAATAAGAGTTAACGTGTTAACAAAAGAGCTTCCTGGTCCTTGTAAACATTAAGCTTATGATGCTTGAGAGTGAAAGCAAGCAGTCTATCAGAGAAATGTGTTTGTCCTGAGACTGTGCTGAGTATGAAACAAGAACAGACATTCTAACATAAGAACAGTTAAGGAACAGGGCAGCCTATTTGTGATAAAATGGCTGGGTCTTACTCTGTCCTGTACTAGCTAACTTTCTAAGATAGATTAGGATGCTATTGGTAGAGCAACCCAACTCTTAGGGTACAGGGGGATGCTGTCAAAAGGGAAGAGACCATTTGTAGATGCCTCCAAGGTCATCTGCTTTGTTTTCTTCCCTGTGTTTATTGGTGTCCATGTCCGAAGACTTTGAGCCCACAAAAAGATCTCCAGGAAGACCCAATGATCCCAAGCGGTGCCCACCAAAATCTGCAGGGCTGAGAGTTCTGGTGTGATGTGACATTTTCAGTAAGAGCCATCTTGAGCCATTCATCACATTCTGCTTTACAAAGCCCCTGTGACTTCTTCCTACAAACTTCTACCACTACTCACTTATGAGAAGAACTGGGGTCATACAAGAACTGTATCAAGGACATTTAATGTAACCCCTGAGGACAAGCTCCCCAAAGCAAACCCTCGCTCACAGGAATGCAACAGTAGGTCTCACAAATTTTTACAGAGTCACTTCCAAAACATAACCAGTAGCCTTGGAGCTCAGAACTTGGTATCAAAGGCCACAGGTTTCAGTACCAATGTCTAGGACTTGATTGCCATTAGACTGTGTGATATTGTAACAAATCAGAGTGCTTGGATTACCCAGGTAGAAAGAAGCCTTTTTACTGTCTCTGTTCTTCCTGCTTATTGTCTACTTATAACAGCATTCTTGGGAGTAAAACCTGAACAGTGGGGGCTGAAGAGATAGTGAAGTCAGTAAAATGTTTATGGTGCAAGCATAAGGACCCAAGATGGATTCCCAGAATACGCATAAAAAACCAGGTATGGAAGAACAAGCTTGTAACCCAAGCACTGGGAAGATGAAAAAATGGATGAATCCCTGGAGCCTGGCAGCCAACTACCATCTCCTAAATAATCGTAGAACTCCAGATTCTAGTAAGAGATCCTATCTCATAAAAACAATGCATTTGGTTTCTTAAAAATGACAACCAAGTTTGACCTCTGGCCTTTACCTATATGTGTTCATATGTGCGCATGTGCACACACACACACACACACACAAACACTTAAACAAGCCCCAAACTTCCCAATTCACAAGGGTATCCTGGCAGAAATTTGGGAAGAGTCCCAGCCTGCACCTTTCAGTCCCTAGTTTTCTTCAGCGCTCCACAGAACACAACCAGTGCCGCGGATGCTGAGCACTGGCAGCCTGCAGGGACCCCATGCTCACTGAGCCTGGAGGCCTAAGAAACCTGATTAAACAACACCTCTGGTCAAAGAGGCTTCTAGTATGGACAAGCCGCCCTAGAGGCAGGACTGGCCCAGGTACACTGGGCAGGCTGACTCCTTTCCCAGAAAGGACCAGGCAGAGATCCTGCCAGGAGTTCCGGGGAGCCCCAGGCAGAAAGCAGGCTGCCAGCCACGTCCTCTTACAAAGGTCATGCTTTGCTACATCAGGCAGAAATGTCAAGAGAAAATTGGATTCTGAAAGAAAGAAAATCATAGGCACTCTGGGCAAATAAAGAATAAGAAATAGCATTATCCCCCTCCTTATTACATGGAAGAGACAGCTGGGGGCCTGGGACAACTAGTGAAGGGGAGTGAGCTTTTGTTCTTCCACGGGGGTGAGGCTTCATCTCCAGCCCACTCCTCCTCCATCCGTCAGGCCCACCAGGAGGATAAAGGTTCTTCGGATTCCTCAAGCACTTTATGAAGTGGCTACTGCGGCATTCATATGCTCTGTCCACACACACATACACCCTCACAGACATTTCCACATATAAGGACACTGCCGCACAAGTCCCAGGAGAAGGGCACTAAGTAACCTGTGCAGCTGTACCCAGAGCACTGCCCTAGAAGCATAATAGAAGTCCAGAGACAAACATACTTCCCAAACACAAGCAGGGTGTGCCATCCTCTGGCCACCCTGTCCTTTTGGGCATTTAATCATTCTCATGACATAGGATAGATGGAAAAACTGAGGTCTGGGGTTTTGATGGCATTAGCATCCAGATGGACAAAACTCGCTGCCCCAGTTTTCCTTCCTGCTGACACCTCACCTGGATCCATCTGTCAGCAGTTATTGATGGTCTGGTTATGCTGTTCATCAGACAAGAGTTTAATTAAGAGTCACCCTGCCTCTGAGCCCTGTGGCAGCCTCCTCCTGGTGCCTCCTTCCTAGCAGATCCATTGTCATCTGCCT